TTATACCTATTAAATGCGTAGCAGGCCAGAGGATTTGCTAAGTCATACTTTTGGTGATATTGTAGGATTCTTTCTACCGTGGGTTAACACCTGAAGAATTAAAGCGTGTCCATGAGTATAACTTTGACCATCCAGGTTTTCAATTTTTAATTATGTACACTAGTATTTCAACTCGTGATATTCACAACTTCACCTATTAATATGATTTCCAGTTGTCATCATCTATTAGAGTAAGTTTCTTTCTTCTCAGATGCTTTTGACACTGAGCAGCTTGTAGAGTGCGTAGACAAGCTCAAAGCAGGTCAAGCTGTCCATGTTCCAATATATGACTTCAAAGCACACCAAAGATCTTCTGATAGCTTTCGTCAGGTACCCCCTTTCTTCATTTACCTTCTATGTGTTTGTGCTCGGTGCTCCCCTTTTTTATATTTTGCATACTAGGTGGGAGATGAGACTAATGTCTATGTAGTTATTCTCCTTATGTATTTTGAAATTCTAATGGTATTGCATATTGGTTTTAGAGACAAAAGAATTTTATACTTATATGTAAAATAATTCTCATTTCCTTGATAAATTTTTCTAACACTTGCGCATTATTTTCATTTTATTTTGAGTTTGTGGTTTCTAAAGAATGCACACTTTCTCATGCTTGAGGTTCCCTGGGTTGTGAAGGATGCATCTGATTTGTCTTTTATTATGTTTTTTTTGTTTCATTTGCTTGTAGTCTAATATTGTTGAGCTGCAGGTAAATGCATCTGATGTAATCATCCTCGAGGGAATACTTGTTTTTCATGACTCGCGTGTCCGCGATTTGATGAATATGAAGATTTTTGTTGATACAGGTTTGACTCCCTGCATTAGTTTTGCCTTTTTGTTTTCCAAAAAAGCCAAGCTAAATTTTCTTTCTTGCTGAAAATAAGTTGAAGACTCTAATACCTCAAAAAAAATCATAAAGAGTTGATAGATTTGACTATTAGATGTTTGTCAGCATTACTTGTATTACCTAGTATGTTTTCAATTCATTTTTAGGTACATATCCCTTTTGAGTTCCAACAAACTTGAACTTGCTAGAGAAGATGAAAGAGATCGGCTGATGTTGTACTTTGATTTAACAACAGTTACATAATTCTTCAGCTGCATTTAGTTTTCTCTTTGCTAAATGCTGACATGGGAAATGTCATTTATGGATTTTCAGTTACTGATGCTTGACATTACTAAGCCCAAACACCTAGTGTGTTAGGCCACACAAACTATTGATACTTTTGGTGTGTTCTATTGTTAATATTTTTTTGAAGGGGTTCTATTGTTAATATTGTTCTATATATTTGCTATATTTTGTCCTTGAAAACCTCTCACTATTTTTAATTGTGATAATTGTTTCCAGATGCTGATGTAAGGCTTGCTCGTCGAATAAGGCGTGACACTGTTGAGAGGGGTAGAGATATAAGCTCAGTTCTTGAGCAGGCAAGCTTTAACTTTCTCAAGTATTAATTCACAAAGCTTGAATTCAAGACTCCTTGTATAATGCTTACAAATGTATTGAAGTTGTTTGCTTTTAAAATTTGAACAAATGCAATATGCAATTTGTGACATGTAACATGTTCCAATAACTGCCTTTTCACTCTTTCGTCAATTTGGAACAAGAAAGGCAATTTTTGTAGAGTTATAATTTCCTATTCAACTCCTAATGTTATATCATAATTTGCAACTATGAGGATAAAAGCAACTTCCATTATATGACCTTTGGTTTTGCGATTCTCTTTTTAAGGCATGAAGCAAGAAAATTATTCTTATTCTGGCAAATCTTATGGTTATCCTTTTCTTATGCAGTATGCGAAGTTTGTCAAGCCTGCTTTTGATGATTTTATTCTCCCTTCAAAGAAATATGCTGATGTTATCATACCCAGGGGAGGTGAAAACCATGTTGCTGTTGATTTGATTGTCCAACATATTAGGACAAAGCTTGGTCAGCATGATCTCTGCAAAATATATCCTAATGTGTATGTTATTCAGTCAACATTCCAGGTATGTATTTTTTATATTGTTTTTCTTAATGTGCATGCCTTTAATTTTGTGTTATATTACCACAATTCAATTTGCTAAGAATTTTAAGGTGGTGGATAACTGAAACATTGTTGTTAAGGCGACGCCTAGGCGTCTAGTCAGTGGAGACCAGTCGCCTGGCCTTTAAAAACAACCCTACTAATACGTAGCTAACAACCCTCCCCCCCCCTCCCCCCCCCCCCACACACACACACCTTCTCCCAGCCTTGCCTTGTGGCTGTTTACTTTGTTATGGCTGAGAATGAAAATAACCCCAATTATGATCCATTAACGGATACTAAAAGGAAAGCTAAATCTAAAGACCTAGGATGGAAATGCTAAATTATTGCATAATTTAGTACTTATTGTTGAGATTTGAGAATATGCTAAAATGCTAAATTATGAATTGATATATATATATATATATATATATATATATATATATATATATATATATATATATATATATGTATATATATATATATATATGTATATTCCTCATCGCCTAGGCGGTCAGGTGGCACCTCGCCTTGAAAGTCTGCCTTAACAACAATGAACTGAAAAAGAGAAGAATAATAGCTTGACTGAAATGGCCTCAAGTTTTCAACAAACTATCATATAACACGTTATAGATGGTGGGGGTAAGACATTCATTCTAGCTTTGGGAGAATACATGTAGACATGAAAAAAGAGAGGAAAACTGGAAGCATGTTTTTGAATAATTTTCCTGAATGAGAAATTCAGTTGCATTCTTAAGCATTTATATAGTAAATTAGACATCTACCTTTCTTTTAAGGATTTCTTTAGTATACATGCATAACAATGAAGCTAAGCATATTTGCATGCTTCTTGTTACAGATAAGAGGAATGCACACCTTGATCCGAGATAGGGACATCTCCAAACATGATTTTGTTTTTTATTCTGACCGGCTAATCCGTTTGGTGATCTACTCTTCAGACTCTTTAGAATATGACACCAAATAAACTGTCTAAGTAACATGCTGTATCCCTTACTATACGGTTTTAATAGGTTGTGGAGCACGGTCTTGGCCACTTACCTTTCACAGAGAAGCAGGTAGTCACTCCAACAGGTGTGTTGGGTGACCATTGATTGCAATATAGAAGCATTTCTACTTTTTCTCACTGATAATTTGGACACTTGTTTTTGTGGGATAAAAATTTCTGCTTATAATGGCTTGTACTAGTATTTGCTGTTGTATTTTGAATCATTTACTGATTGAAATCTTGAACATCTTAATTGAATTTCAGGGTCAGTATATATTGGTGTTGACTTTTGCAAGAAACTATGCGGGGTATCTATCATTCGCAGGTTAATAATGAATACTGAATAATGATATTCTAAATTGTTATTATTGGTTTTAATTTGAAAGGTTGGAGGCTTTTCTTTGTCTGTTGATAACATGAGTTAAAGGAAATAAAAATGTAGTACAACGATTTCCTTGCATACCAATTATCAAAAGATAGTAAATTATAATTTTTTTTAAGAGAGAGAGAGAGAGAGCTGTTACTTTCTACATCTATTCAACCTGGTTCAGTCCTGGGTGAAAGTTTGATTCCCAATGTCAGTTTCTGTGCTTTGTGCTGAGAATTCCTGTGAATTGATTTCGCAGTTCTTATCTTTAATGTTTTATTTGTTTTCAGTGGTGAAAGTATGGAGAATGCATTGCGTGCTTGTTGCAAGGGGATAAAAATTGGCAAAATTCTGATCCACCGTGATGGTGACAATGGTAAACAGGTAAATTTAAGTAGACTCATAACGTAATTTTGCTTTACATTTTTTACAAGTCTAAGTGATAGCATGGTTGATTTGTGGTACTATATTGTATTTTTATTATGAACAGCTTATTTATGAAAAACTCCCAAAAGATATATCAGAACGTCATGTCTTGCTTCTGGATCCAGTTCTTGCTACAGGTGACAATTTCTTTCATACTATCAATCATGTCATTGATGTCAATATGCAATTGTGCTTGTGCTTAACTACCCATTTTCTTCTCAATATATATTCTATTTGGGTTTGGTTGGTTACTTCCACCCTTGTATTTCGCTAAGTCTGAAATGTTTCTTATATTGTGCAATAAAGGTAACTCTGCTAACCAGGCGATTGAGCTGCTCATACAAAAAGGAGTTCCAGAATCCCATATTATCTTCTTAAACCTAATTTCTGTAAGTGTTTATAGTCAGTTCTAAAACAGATGACTTGTAAACCATTTATAGTTTAAGGTAATTCTATCATCTGTTGACTCTGCTCTTTGTGTCTTTGTATGTATAGGCACCAGAAGGAGTACATTGTGTTTGCAAGCGTTTCCCATCACTGAAAATTGTAACTTCGGAGATTGATGTTGCACTGAATGAAGAATTCCGCGTCATTCCAGGTATGGGGGAGTTTGGTGATCGTTACTTTGGTACTGATGATTGAGAGATTCTCCAGCCTGCACCTATGCTGAAGCTTTAGCGAGTCTACTATCAATTCTCTCTCTCTCTCTCTCTCTCTCTCTCTCTCTCCTGCTGTTATGAACCTGATTTGTTTCTGATGTTTTACCCAGTACAGTAACTTTCCAATAACCGTTTTGAAGTTTTAACAACGAAGTGAATATTTGTGAACTGTGTGTTACTACTACAGAATGGTTTGTGAAAGCAAAAATAATTATTTTCTGTTGTCTTACCCAGTGCACAATATTATTGGGTTGAACAAATGGCTGTGTAATGAGCACTTGGAACCAAGTACAATCATATTAATTCCTGAAATAATATTTATTATGTGTACACTTTTGAGGGATTGAAAATTTGATTCATCCCTCAAAACAGAGTGGAGTTGTGACACTTGATAATATTGCATCCTCCTCCATTTCTTTGCATTCTTCAACAACTAAATGGTATTCATGAGCATTTTTTTGTTACAATGTGTGAGAAGCTTTAAAGTAGAGGTGAGGAAATAGACAAGTGTTATTTAATTGCAAGGAAAAGAGGTATGACACGCAGCAGCAGAAATGGATGGTTTAGGTTGGGAAGATTTCCAAAGACAACCCAGCAGGCAGCATATGTTTATGAAATGTGTTATTGTTTGACAGTGTGTAACACTCAAAGTTTATGATAAAAGCAAAGCTTGTGATCTCTGAGAAAGAATGAAAAATTGGAAAAAGAAGAGTAGTACGTATTAAATGGTGAATGGAAGATGAGAGTGGAGAGAAGAGGAAGGGTTAGTTACCCTTTTTACTTCCCTTTGAGTTTGCTAGATGAGGGAACACACTCAGAATGTTGTGTGCCCTCAGGTCTTGCCTGGTCAAGATTCCAACAACTGGAGATACCTGCAGTGCAGCAAAGTATAATCAGGTTAGACCATAACAAAAGTAGAAGTAGAAGTTGTTGAGGATGAGAGAAGTGACTGACCCCTGCTGCTTGATACTTGGGTAGAATGATCATGTGGCGGAGCCCCACCTGCCTAAACAGCAACAAGGCCTTGGCGACTGACAAGCTTTCGACTACTGTATATGGTGTTGTGTTGGTAAGAGGATGCAAGTCAACATACATCTCCATTTCATCCTTTGTTACAGCCACATCTTCAATCTTCCCCCATCTCTCTGCCAAGTCTATCCAGGTAAACTTCTCTCTCACTTCTGCCTCCTCTGTCCTCCTCCTTTCACTCATGAAGTACTTCTTTTTCAGCACCAGCAGAAGGTGAGTCCTCAGGACTAGTCCATGAAGTTCAGTTGCCCCAATCGGCAGCGCTGTTCTAGGAGGCACCACCCCTTCATCTACAACCGGGAACCCATTGTGTGTCGTGTTCTTGAGGACCTCCACAATGCGCCCCACCTTCTCAATTCCTCTCAGTGTAACCACCGGTGGCTTCACATCAGCCAGCTCCCCAACTGTGATGTTTCTCATCCATGGCTCAGGGTGTGCATCCAGGAAGGGTAAGCCTTTCAGTTCCAGTATTATTTCATAGATGCTTGGGTTGAAGCAGTCTCCTACACTTTTTGCAATCAGAAGGACAAGCATTGTTATTGGCAATAGGAGGAGATTGTTGGTGAGCTCAAGAAATATGACGCACAGGGAGACTGTCATCCTCATTGAACCTGCCATCAGGGAAGCTGCACCCAGAACAGCATACAGCCCCTGATCAATATACGCGTATCTTCCCATCGCAATACCAAGTAAGCGACCATAAGCCGAGCCCATGAGTATGATTGGAAGGAACAGACCAGATGGCACAGCAATTCCAAAAGTGATCAGTCCCAGGATGCAGTAAAGTACAAAGAAGATAATAAGGGATGATATATTGAACTCTGTGGGAGTGTTTATGGAGAATATGTTGCGCACAGCATCATCATTCGTCGTTAGCAGAAGAGTGGCCAGGTCATTATAATACCCCTTTGGGCAGTTGAATTGCTTGAAGTTCCCAGTTCCTCCAGTTGTGGGACACGACTCTTCCTGTGAGGGATTACAAGGCTTACATTTCGCAAGGAAAGGAAGTCCATATAAGCAGATAGAGGTGAAAAGCGAAACGCTTAGACTCAGAAGAAGTTTATGCAATTTCCCCCTCCTGCACCACAACAGTTTACAAGTCAAAATTGTGCTTATGAAGTGTATTATATATATATATATATATATTTATATATATATATATATATATATATATATATATATATATATATATATATATGCTCACATCTTTCTGACAATTGATAGATATGCATATTAAGATGATTTGATGATGAGGGAGGGTGCTTACTCATTGATGAGACTATATAGCCTGAGGACTTTGTGGAGAACATGGTTGTAGAGGCTTCCCAAGAGTCCACCAATGACTCCAATCACTGCAATGGGGATGAGGTCCACTACATGGTAACTCACACTCACCCCACTCACATCAAACATGATAAGCCCCCCTCTGCCAAACAGCCCACAGTCGCTCGACTTGCAGTACTCCATGAAGGACCTGAGTACCACCACCACCACTGCTGTGCTGAAGAAAGTTCTCCACAGAAGAGCACTCCTCCACCATGTTGCCACCTCCTCCAGTGCAAAGAGCACACCTCCAACTGGGGAGCGGAAAGCAGCACATACCCCTGACGATGACCCACAGGTAATGAGATCTCGCCTGTCCCTATCATTGTTGAAGTAGCGCAGCCAACGCCATTTGATGCGATAATCATCCGGGCCCCCTTGCCCTAATAAGGAAGCAATGCAGCTGCCTATGTGTACTAAAGGCCCTTCTTTTCCTAGATCCAAGCCTGCAGCAACTGCCCCAATGCTTCCAACAATCTGTGAAGTTGAAGGAAAAGGTACAAGATTACTTACTACATTTCTACTGCTGATATGTCTTAGAATCTTTTCATCTATTGAACTTTGAATAAAGTGTCTTATTTAAAATCAACTGCCAATCCACTACTTATCCAAAAACCTGAAACTGTTGCTCCACTAACTTTCCTATTCCCATGATAACCATCCTCAAAAAGTTGCAGTATATACTACTATATAGTTATATCATGGTATGGTATGGTAAACTGAAACAAAGAACATCGAGTGAGGTTCGCTTATTCTGGGATTGTGGGGTTAAGATGTCATTGTCACATACATACATACATACACCACACAACTTTCTAGTGCTTCAAGATCTGGTTTTTACTTCCAACTACCACTCATTTGTTAACTGCAACTTCTTGAATTGATGTGTTTGTTTCACACAGAATTGTAGTATCAACAACAGGCCGGGTACGTACCTTGACGATGAGTGTCGTGGCGCCAAACATGTTGGGAGTGTCCACTCCATTGAGATAAGCCTTGATTTCAGGTATTCCAGGGCCAGCAGCAGTGGGTGCAAAAAACACACAGAGAACGGAAGCTACAAATGTGAGCACAAAATTGGCCCCAGCAAAATATGCAAATCCCATCAGGTACCTGCATCACATCAACCACTCTTATACTGATTCTCTGCAGGTGTCTGCTGGTCAGAATTCAGAATGTTTTTGGAACATACATATATATATATATATATATATATATATATATATATATATATATATATATATATATATATATTTCACTGACCTTTTCTTGTCGATGTAGTCAACAACTGCAAGAAGTTTGTAGCCTGCAATGTTCTCCACAGCTAGATTGATGAGAGTGGCTATGATTCCTGTGAGAAGTCCTACCAGGAATGCCAGTGTCCACTTCAGGAACACATACTGCAAAACCTGGGTTCTTGATCTGCTCCTCCAATCATGCTTGAACAGATCATTCTCGTTGATCCTAAATCAACAACAGGTAAGGAATCAACAACACAATTTTGCAGTTCCCCCATATATATATGGGGGTAGGTGAGAGTAAGTAGTAACTAACTTACTCATAATCCAAACTCTCTATGTGAGAAACCTTGGCTCCAACCATGGCTAGTGGACTGGAGGAAAGCGTTAGGTTTCTCTTGAGGAGCAGAGGCTGATGCAGAGAGTTGCTCTCTGGGTCTCTCTCAGCTTCTTCTTCTTCAGCTTGTCCCGCCATGGCTATCGTCGTTGCACTTTCTGCATACTGCTCCTCCATCCTGGATGCGGAAACTCTCAAATCTTATCAGCTCCACCCTCCAAATAATATGATGCCAGAGGATTATTTTGTATGTCTGATCTATTATTATTATTATTATTATTATTATTATTATTATTATTATTATTATTATTATATTACACCACTAACTAGTTACCTTTCCACGTCTAATGGACCAACCAAACAAAATACTCCGTATATAATAAAACCAAACACATGTATAGAAGATGGTTCTTAATATAATATGTGGGCTCCAACAATGTCATAATTCAGATTCTGGATATTTCGTGTTTTTATTATTTTTTAAATCTAAGGGGATGTTTGGTTGGATGGAAAAGTTTTTTCATGGACAATATTTTCCTTCAAGTGGAGGGTTCGTGGAATTCATTTTCTATTTCCTCACATGTGAGGAAAACAAAATTTTTGGTAGGAGTGTAGGACATGTGATTTTGTTTTCCATGGGAGTTGGGAAGCAAAAATGAGATGACTTGATAATTTTACCCTTGTTGTTTTGTAGGGTCATATATCTCATTATATTCGTTATTCCTTACAATTTTCAATCCAACCAAACAATGGAATCAATATTTCTAATAATTTTTTTTTCACCAACAAAATAATGAAATTCATCTTTCTAGTAAGCACCCCTTAAAATATTTTTTGCGAACCAAATAGATCCTTAAGGGAGGGGGGACCCCGATTAGTGACGGTAGCTCACTCTGCAGTTATTTAGTAATGTTATACGGAGTAATAGATTGATTAACTCTATCTGTACTTCTATTTCCTACTCTCATTTTTTACTCTATATAATGTGTCATATTTTGATATTTTGATTGCTTAATAAAATAGGGCGTATTGTGATTGGGGGCGAAGTTTAAATAAAGTTAGAAATGTCAATTATAAAATATCAAATATCCTATAGTCATAATAAGTTTTTTTTTTTTTTTTTTTTTGAAAAAAAAATATATAATACATTATAAATTACAATAGAATGTTTTTGATATATTACACGATAGTTAGAGTCGGAGCCAAAAATTATACTTGAGTGGGGTGACAATGTGAAAATACTTATGACAACATATGAAGCATAATAAATTAGATAAAATAATTTGAATAATACTATATTCATAAATACGTTTTAATTTAATTTTTTTTTAATTAGATCAAATTTAAGTTTTTCTAAATTAATTCGAATACAATGAAGTATAATATAAATTTGTATATTACATTAATTGAATGATTCATAAAAAGTAGACTAAAAGAATATTTAATTTGTTAATTAAATGATTTATAATAGTAGACTAAAAATATTTATCTTGGGAAGAAATGAAAGAGATAAAATAAACAAATGAAAATAAGAAAAATGTTGTTAATGAGATTTGAACCTATGACCAGAGGCTTTCTTAATATTAAAAAATAGAGTTCAACCAACTACACTACTCAAACTATTGACAATTTAAACAAAAATATTTATTTTATATACATATATAAAGGGGTCCCCCACACGAGCTCCGTCTCTACTTGGTGGGAGTTATACTACAAGGAGTACATCTACTATTTTTCTAATAGATTATTCTATGTTAGTCTTTTGTTTTTTTTTTTTTTTTTTTTTTGGGATACATTAAATTTCTCAACTTACAGTAGATTAATACTGAGCCTCTAGAATCCCTGCCAAAGCCATAGTTAGTGTTAGTCCTTTTCTACCTAGTACTCTTAGCAAGAATGTTGATTAGACATATTTTATACTGTTTATAGTAATACGCGATTGAGGAAAATTTATGATGTATGTATAGTCTAAAAATGAAGATTTTTTTTTTTTTTTTGAAAACCAGATTTGTTATTTTTCTTTCTTACAAAATCCATTATCTTCCCTCATCACTCATTATTTAGGAAGTAGAAGATCTAACTCTTTGGGAACAATTTGGTGGGTAAATATGGAAAATGGTATATGGACTCCTATTGAGTAAATTCTCTATCATGTGTCGTGATTTTATTGATAAAATAAAAATAAATTAATAAAAAATTGTATTATTTTTTTATAGATAAATCAGAATACACTAGTATGCAATGAGTAAAAAAATAAAGAATTCTTTTGTCAAAAAATATAAAGAAATGAAGAAATTTGGAGTATATGTAATATTATTTGGTAAATAATGGGCAGTTGGCAGTTGGCACAGCAAAAAGTGTGATGGATCACAATACATGACATGTCACTTAGGTTATTAGATGCAGTTTGCTTGGCTTTATTGCCATAAATGATTGGAGCTTCATAGTCACATACAGCCATGATCATGCTTATCTCTTAATCAATGTTTTTGCTTGGCTTTTTTGATTTCCAAGAGACATAATTTTAAAACAATTTTGTAAAGTGGTCTTTTATTTAATTTGTTTTAGATCACGAGGAAAATTCACACTTATTATTCAAAAGTGTTGAAACTATGCAATTGTGTAATAGTTTGTAAATTACTCACGAGATGAAAATTGTACTAAGAAAATATATATTTTTATTTATTCAAGTTGTAATAGTAATAGTGAGTGAATGTTAATATTATAACACTTATTACAAAATATATAATTTATGTCAATTTGTATAGTTAAAAGACGAAAAAATTGAGTTATTTCAAATACTGCCACAAAAAAACAAAAAAAAAAAACAAAAAAAAAAAACAAAAAACTCATAGTTTAAAAAAGACCGTATCCGAACCGGACAATGGAGTAACATGACATGTCATTGAATACTACTCTGTAGTCTGTACTCTGTATGACCGTATACGAACCGGACACATCTTATGGAAGATTGGTTTCATAAGAATCAAATTTAATTTTATTGTCTAACAATAAATATAATATACTAAAAAAAGCTTAACACTGTCAAGCATAAAAATATAAATTACTAAAATAGAAACTGTGAATTGTTTAATCAATTACACAAGTTATGATATAATATTCTAGCTATTATTCTTATTACTCATCATGTCTCATTTTATTTGTCATGTTTACTATTTATCGTTAAACCAATTATTTCTTCCTTGCATATTTTCTTTGGTATTTTTTTCAATTATTTTTAAATTTAATTTTTTGTATTTAATAGTGCAGTTAATGTAGTTTCTAAATATATAAATTTTATATATTCATACTAAACTTAACATTATGAAAAATTGAATTAAAAATAACTTCAGTCAAAACAAGAAACATAAAATGGGACGGATGAAGTATTTTGGTGATGAGGGAAACCCCCAACTATTACTCGAATGTGCATATTGGATAAACCCCGCTCCTGTGTGATAATTCACAAACCACACATGAGAGATAAATCGCATTAAAAAGACATGTGAGATAAACTCAACCGATAGGATGTTAGCAAATATAAAATCATGCTTCACCCACTTGATTACACCTTTGGGACATCTATTTTATTTTTATTGTATGTAAAATGAGTGATTCTTTTGAAGTTTTCTTGTATTTGTAAGTATAATTATAAATATAATATCAATGTTTTTATTTTTAACGATTGATATATAGTTTGCCATATTGTATTGATTGTTGGTTCTTAGGAACAAGTGTTTTTAGATTTTGATGATACCAAATTATGTTAGAAATTTTAGTCCTTATTTTATTTTTAGAAATAGGAATTAACGGATTTTCAGTTGAATAAATGTTTTTTAATAATTATTTTTTGTTTAGGAAATGGGCGTGCTACAAGATCATACAGAAAAAAGTGAGCTTCAAGATACTCATTGGATTGCCCGAAGCTTGGGAGATGAAAGTGACAACAATGAGAGATCACATGGATCTAAAGGCTATGCCCACCATTTAACTATTCAGGGATCTCAAAGCATATGAGTTCGAGATGAACTCAAGAGATGAAGATGAAGAACCAAAGAACACAACGTTGGTTGCAAACCAACCACCTACTTCATCTAGGTCGTCAAACTCTAACCCCTACTGAATTATTGTCTGATGAGCAGTGCTATGTTTGTGCGCAAACCCCCGTCTTCTTAAAAATTCTTGGGGTTTAAGGAGAAGAGTGGTCGTAGATTGAGTTTGGTCGAACCACTTAAATCTCTCTCTCTCTCTCTCTCTCTCTCTCTCTCTCTCTCTCTTTCTCTCTCTCTCTCTCTCTCTCTCTCTCTCTCTCTCCATCTATCTACATTCCGGTACTTAATCAACCAAATCTACGATTTAAAATCCATCCATCTATCTACATTTCGGTACTTAATCAACCAAATCTAAGATTTAAAAAGAACAAATACATGCAAGTAAATTAAAAAGGGGTAACAAATTATTTTCCATTGTGTTACTCAAGCTGTTTTTAAGTTCAAGTTTACTTGAGCTAAAAATCATTGAAAAAAAATTAAAATTTATAAAAGTCTATTCACCCACCTCCCCCTTCTAGACTTGTACCCCTTTTCCATCGGGAGTAACACTTGTTACTACATATCGCATGATTAGATCCGTCAAAATATGTCAGTGAGATGGACTTTAAAGCCTATCAATTTTTTTGGCTTGAAAATTGCCAGCCCACCGAAGTGTTTTTGAGTAATCATTACTTTAAAAGCAAATTCACGGGTGTCTTTGCAAAAGCATCGTCACCGACTTCTCCCTCCCCCCTTCATCCACCCCCAATCTTTACAACAAATTTTTTGTTTGTGCATTCAAATTGAAGATTAAAATTTAATTACATGGCTACTCAGAGTATTAGATCTTCATCAATAATAAAAATTTACGATATGTAGACTTTCTTGAATTATATTCTGCATGATTTCATATCCTCATGTGTAATATGTTCACATTATTTCTTTACCGAGAGGAAAACATGTTATAATGTGTGAGGCTTTCTCTACTATCGCTTATCATTGCTTTTGGTTGGCATACATAGCTTAAAACTGAAAGCTTAAAAGTTAGTAGTCATTTATTTTGAAACGCTATTTAGAGAAGCGTTTGAAAATAAACTATTATTTTAAACTCTCAATGTTTTATCAAATAGAGCTTATAATTTGTTTGTAGCCTAAAATAAGGTATATACTTTAACAAACATAGCCATAGTCATCTATTGTATTAACACATTTATTCGCC